ATTATGAAGATCTGCTCAATTCTTGGCCCAGTAAGTTTGTACCTACTGTAGAAGTGTGGTGAGGCTGCATGAACTGCTGGGACCTGCATTAGTCATTGAAGGATCAATTACAAAATCGACTTTGCTTCAAAGACCCTAATGTTTCCTTAGAGATTGCTGTTCTACTGTGGACTGTGGAATAATGCCATAGACACTCTAAATTAAATTAAGCAAGCAACAGGGAAAATATGATATTAAAATATCATATTAAGAGAAAGTGTGTTAGTATCAATACATCAAATTAATTGTTAGGCTGAATTATACTTAAAATACCAGTGAAGCCCTACAGTTTCTCAGAAATCATTCTCAGGCCCTATTAGGTAGGGTTCTATCGATCTTGATGCTAAATGATACATACAGATTCCACTTGACTAGACTGGGAGAACACTTTAAACAAAAGGTGATATTTGAAAATGTCCTAATGCCAGTACCAACTGGAATAATGCTGTTGAGTGCTGTCTGCACTATTGGTGGGTAGTTTTCTCTCCACATTTACACTTTGAACGGCTCTAGAACGGCTCCACGTCTTCCTAAACCGGTGTTCAACAACTGAATGAGACCAGGGGTCTCTCGGCTTTTAGCTCTGGTCCGTCATCAGGGACTTGGGCAAACCTGAGCTGGGCTTGTGATGGGATAAATTTTGTGTGCGCGCCATCTGCTGGGCCCCGCTCAAATACCTGCAACTGGTACCTAAATAAAGTCACCCGCAACCAGAGATGCGATAACAAGGACACGGGCGGCATAACGGCATCTTGGTTTATGAAAGCAGTAGGTTTTTTGGAGTGGCCGTAGTTCACATGATTTTCTTCTTAATGCCTTGATGCATTTGAGTGGAATGAGTGCTACGGTAGATTTTGTCTATGTTTTAAAGTTAGAGGTCTGAGTTTGAAAACGTTAGTTGTAACAGTATGCAAACCTAGTGCTTTTATAAATAGATACCATAAAATTTAAGGCTTACAATAATAGTAGATAGGTAAAGTTGTTTTGAGCCCTAACAGTTTTAACCACTTAAGTCCCGGATAGCTACCTGTTTAAAATGTGCAATTTGCTAATTAATAGCAAATTCCAGTTTTAAATTCAGAAGGACTTATTTCGCCACAGATCTGAGCAGATTTGGTCCAACGTTTTAGCTGTTTTCCTGTATCAAATAGTAATATATTCCTTTCCTCCTATAAACTGTCAATTGCAACTTTCTATTTAAGTTAGAACTGAATTTGATGGGATATTAACTGAGGCTATAACACTGGATTGTAGCGGAGAATACAGAAAGTGAACAATCTATAAAACAAAATTCTTTATTAATGTTTAAAAATTACTAATAAAACTCATAAAATTCCAGGATAAGTGTTTTCACTGAGAGTGTCTCAAGATCAGGTTATTGTCTGAAAAATCTGCCTATTTACAGAGATATTGAGTTCTTGTGATTTATTTTTTTCCTTTAATGTGCCTTTTACTACCTTCCAGTTCTGTCACTTAGCCAGGTGTAAGAATTATCACTCTGAAAGCTTTTATTTGACAGTGAAATAAAGTAGGTTTTGAATGCAAACTGAATTTGTCATACATTTTGTTATGAATAGAAAGAGATGAAATTTACTTTGAACTGTGTAGTCAGTTTAATTATTTTCTTTGTTTCATTTTTTTTATTACTTTAGACACTTTTCTCACAGATAGCTGAGCCCTTTGTATTACCAAACCAAGGTTTTTGTTACATTCACTAATCCCTATTATCTTAAGAATCACCAAAAACTACCTCTTCTCCCCTCTTTTAAGGCTTTGATAAAGAGCCTTCCTAGAAAAGGAATCTTGTATGAACTTAAATTACTCTATGTTTTCTTACTATTATGAAAAATATCTTTGCAATCATATATCCTCTAAAATCAATTAAAAATTTGATTTTAGAACATCCCAGATTTCATCCTTGTATCGAATACTTCAGTAATCAGTTCATGCATGCAGACACACTCATGTGCTTTATTACTATTTTTGATTCTCAGGCTGGGAAAACACGATGAAACATGACTTTAGACTTGGTTGTGTGCATACAACTTTTATTTGATCGTTATTTTATTTTCTAACAACATCTACATTTATGCCCTGGGAGCAGCTCATAATCACAGTGATGTATAAAACAAAATCGTCAAGTTTGTTCTGTGTCAACGTATTGAACATTCATGGAATAGTCACTGGATGGCAGTAGACTTTTTGTGTGGTTAAAAAGTCACATTTTTACAGTACCTGGTAATAAAACACCATTTAAAATCAGAGCTCTGTTCTGTACAGTGGTATATGTACATTGAAAAGATGGAAACTGTGTTTATATCCACATGGCAAGCTTTGAAATGCTGCTTCACCAACTGCAGTTCTCAAGCAGATGTTGGTGCATGGGAAGGGGAAAAGGACCTTTTAGTGCAAATATTCATGCAAATAGTCCACTGTGGAACAGCCATAATCAAGTCAGGGAGAATGGAACTCAGATGAGCTGATGGCTCAGATGAGTTAACAGCTCAGATTCATTAACAGGTCTGCTGTCCAAATGCGGACAAAACTAAGTACTGTAGAAATCTGAAGACCAGAAAGACTATGTGCAAAGCATATCAGAGGAATATACTTAAAATACAATGGGAAATAATTTTGTAGGCTTGCTTACAAAGAAGTAAAAAATTATACTGCTTCATTTCTTTCATAGAGTAATTATGGTAATCATATTTCTGATATTCCAGCCTACAAATTCAACAAAATGTAATACATTCAAGAAATCAGAACAGCATGCACTTTCTATCTATTTGATTTTGTGTAATTATTTCAAAATTTGAATGAGAATTTATTAATTCCAACCTTGAGAAAAGTTTTACTCGGGAGAGACCTATAATTATG